AGACCAGAGGAGTAGGGGGGGACATCTATCTATTGTATCAGCTGCACTCCTGAACCCTGCACTTTGTACATAGCGCACCCCTGGACACTGCACTCTGTACACAGAGCACCTCTAAATCCTGCACTCTGTACAAAGAGGACCCCTGAACCCTCCACTCTGCACCCCTGAACCCTGTACGTAGAATGCCTCTGAATCCAGGGCCGGATCTAGCCAGTCTGATATGGGGGTGCAGTAGAAAATATCTGGGGGGCAGAGGATAGGAGGTCAGCAGGGCAGGTACAAAAACAGGAATCAGTAGTGTACTAGGGATCAGCATGGCGGAGTACAGGGGTTAGCAGAGCAAAGGGCAGAGATCAGCAGTTTGTAGGCCAGTGTATAGGGGGGTCAGCAGGGCAGAGGTTGGTCAGTCAGCAGAGGACTGTACAGGGGTCAGTATAGCAGTGCACAGGACATATAATATGTTTTTTTTTAAAGGTGAGCCTAGCCTGTAAACAATATGTATACACTGACAATATTAATACCCATAACAAGTAATCTGACTGGCTTTACAATAAAATCAAAACAGGATGACAAAATGTGAAGACTGGGATTATGAAATACATGAGGCACCCCGGGAAAGAACAGAGAAATACGTTCTGTGGGTGGCCAGTGGGAGGGTCTTAAAGGGGGATTGAACAGAATCTGTGCCTGCTGCATAAAAATGCACACCTATACCACACTCCTTGTACCCACAAAATACTAAATAATGTGCCACAACCAACAGTCTCGAAGACACATCTAAACCTGCAGAACAAAGGAATATGTTTTTATGAACACAAAAATTATATTTGTGTCTTAGGCAGCCATACAGTTCATGGATCAAAATTCATCTGTATCAGTAGGGGCTGGTTGAATTTTGATCCATGTATGGGAAGGCTGGTTGTACAGAAGTCAATCTACCGATCGACTTCTGTAGAATCAGTCTCTAGGAAAATTTCTGCATGATCAGCACCACGGACTATAGCTGGCAGCACTGATAAGTGTATTCTGGCAGCATTGAAGCCTGTTCGCTGTCAGAACACCTCAGGGAGGAGTGATTCCCCATCCACTTCGAATTTGTAATTTGTAATTTAAATTTTTTTCCAACACATTGTTGAACAAAAAAATTACTAAAGTATGGGCTGCAGCAGTCCAGCAGAATGCACCCTTACATCAGAATCCGGCAGATGCCCCCTTTTCTATGGGCACATTTTTCCTATCCATGAACATTTTCGGATAAGAGAAGTGTGTCTGTTTTGTACAAACTGTAAATTTATGGATGGTTGGCAACACAGGGTTCGGGTGTACACAAACTGCCACTGTAATGTTTTGTGGACATGGCAGAAATTCTGTTCTCTGTTTGCTTTCTGTGGGCACAGTGCCTGGAGAAGGGAGGGTGACAGATGGGGGAGAGAGGGGAGGGAGATAAAGGGGGGGGAGAGAGGGGAGGGAGAAAGAAGGGGAAGAGAGAGGAGGGAGATAGAGGGAGGAGAGAAAGAAGAGAGATAGAGGAGGGAGAGAAAAGGAGGGATACAGATGGGGGAGAAAGGGGAGGGAAATAAAGGGAGAAGAGAAGGGGGGAGATGGGGAGAGTTCAGTTGTAGTGCAGTGCTCAGTTTGCTCACCCAGGCTGGTCTCTGCAAGTTCAGGCAGAGGAATCAATCCTGCAGGCACCATGTATTTGCCAACTGCAGTACTTCAAATTTCACAGCCACATATCTTCTCAAGCACAGCACTGGCCAGGAATTGGAGTATGGGTGGGGCAGTTGGGAGGAGAGGGGCAGGAGGAGCCAGTGCACATCGATCCCCTCTCTCCTCTCCCATCAGTGCAGGTAAGGGGAGGGGGGAGTGTGCTGTCTGGGCTGTGTGAGCCACTGTAGACAGCTTCTCCTGTTGGACAAAGTCCATGGGTTGCCTGGGGGGGGGGACACAGCCCACCCTAGCACCCCCCTAGGTCCAGCCATGGTTGAATCCTTCACTTTGTGCACAGCACACCCCTAACCCTGCATACTGTACGTATCTCCCCCTAAACCCTGTACTCTGTACACAGCACAACCCTAAAACCCAGCACTCTCTACACAGCGCACCCCTGAACCCAGAACACTGTACACAGATCACCCCTGGACCCTGCAATCTGTGAGAGTGAACCCCTAAACCATGCACTCTGTGCACAGTGAAACCCTGAACCATGCACTCTGTACATAGCTCACCCCTAAACCCTGTACTCTGTACACAGCGCATCCCTAAACCCTGTGCTCTGTACACAGTGTACCCCTAAACCTTGCACTCTGTACACAGCACACCCCTAAAATCCAGCACTCTCTACACAGCCCACTCCTGAACCCAGCACTCTGTACACAATGAATCCCTGAACCCTGCATTCTATACTTAGTGCACCTTTAAACCCTGCACTCTGTACATAGCGCTTCCCTGAACAATGCACTCTGATAAAGAGTAGATAGATATTCTTACAGATAGAAATGGCCCTTTGGGGACAACCATACTGCTGATGAGGACCCTGATGAAGTTGAGTTTGATACTCCTGCTGTAAAAGCCACTATCAGAGGATTATGAACATTCAGATGATAGGAAAGCTATACTTTATATAGCAAACATTTAAGAAAGGCAAGATCTATGTACTTTCCAGCTGGCTGCTGATACATGCTTTAATTAGCATATCTGGGTTGACCATGTTACAATTATTTATCTATCCATATGTAGAACCCCTCTAGTTAGCCAGGGGGCGCTAGCTAGGTTTTTTAATTAGATGATGAATAGCAGCCTGGAATGAGTCAGCCTGGGATGAATAAGCCAGGTAACTTGAGGTCAGGGCTAAGGGCTCTGCAGATCAGCTCACTGATATCTCCCCTTGCTCTAAAAGCTTGTGAAGTTTCTAAAAGGCAGTGGGTGTGGGTGAGGAGGGGCTGATCTGCATACTTAAGGGATCTTGGCCAATCCCCAAGCAGGAGGCTTGACATGGGGCCAAGACAGACCTTAAATATGAGAGAGCCTGATCAGCAGGGGAGTAGCGTTGGGTGGGAGATGGAGTGAAGTCTGCAATGTGGAGCCTAGGAAAGAGTTGGAAGACGAGATCTCTCAGCCTCAACAGCCCCTGAGATAGTACAGCCTGTGAAGCAGGGAAGGAGACAGCCCAGCATAAAGCCTGAAGGCAGCCACCAACCCACAAGCTTGCAAGAGAGGACTGAGTGAGTAATCTCACACACTCTGGGCCGGATAAGGGGAGAGGTCAGTCAGGTAGCCAACCCAACTAGCTCCTCATTTGGAGCTGCTCAGCTAAAGTGGCAGATCCTGGATCCCCTTGCTAAGGGATTTCCTCAAGCAGCTGGGTGAAGAGGAGAATTCATCTGGGGTCTGAGGTAGTACACCAGGAGGGCTGGAGAGCTCTCCAAGCAGATAATCTTTGTCTCTGGACATGTACATAGTTACTAAGGAGTTGTTCTCAGGATGCAGTTTCCATGGGCATCCCATATACTCCTCAACTCTATCCAAGTTCAATACCCCTTAAAAAAATAACAAAAAAAAGAAAACAAGCTCAAAGACTGTTTACTGTCTCCAGTGTGCAAGGTCTGAAGAAAATGTGTGTTGCCTGGCTGTGCAAGACTATAGGGGAACCCAAAACTCAGTGACTCTTAAGAGGTAGTGCTACACATACAGTATGTGCGATTTTTACTAAGCAGATGTAACTAATATAGAGGGACTATATTTAGATTTGACAATCCATGCTTAAATATGCTCATTTGAGCTGGTCTGTATTGAGTTCGGAGTGGGTGACCCAAATTCAGTAGCTGTGTGACATCCAAACTAGTATTTGGTGACAAAAACAACATTGTCTAAAAAAATCTTCATTTAAGCCTATCAGATGCAGGAAGAATAAATGGTAAATCCACCTCATTTCTCTTTTTCTTCATTCCAAGACCCTATCTCCTTCTCAATTCAGGAATTTTTTCTAAAACCATAACTTTCAAGTCACCATTTTTGTGTCTTCTCCTAAAAATATCTGGGACTGGTAAATGTGTTTGTTTTAACATAATGGATGATCTATACTGAGCCAATCTATCTTTCACTTTGTGTGTGCTTTCCCCCACATATGTTACCTACATGGGGAGAACAAAATATAAATCACAAAATATGATTGGCAGGTCAGATGATGTCTAAAAGCAACATTTTTTCCTAGTAATTAGATGTACAAATGTATTTCCCTTAATCATCGGGATTACATTGTATGCACGCCAAACATGGAAAAGAACCCCCTCTTTGGAGGCCTAGAAATGCCTTTTTTTTGTACCTGCAGAGATAAATGGAAGTTCAACTCCATTAAAGCAGGGCTCCACCCAAAAGGGGAAGTTCCATTTTAAGGCTTTGTTCTCTCTCTCCCCATTAAGGATTGGCACCTTTGGGAAGCAGGTACCTGACTTTAACAGGTACCCACCCCCATTTCCTTTACGATCGCCTAAGATGATCAGAAGCAGAAGTTGTCCTCGCCCCTCCCTCCCCATAGTCTTCTGGGACACGTGACAGGTCCCAGAGGACTACAGGACCATTCACAAAGCACACAGCACTACTTGTGCATGTGCAGTGGGCACCTGGCTGTGAAGCCGCAAGCTGTTACAGCCAGGTGCCAGCACTAAAGATGCCGGCGCCGGGGAGAGAAGACGGCCGGTGAAATCAGCCATGTTGAGAACACCGTTGGACCGAGGGACAGGTAAATGTTTTTATTTTAAAAGTCAGCAGCTACAGTTTTTGTAGCTGCTGACTTCTATTTTTTTATTCAACTGGAACTCCGCTTTAACCACCTTCCGCCCGCCATATAGTAAAATGACGGGAGCAGGGTGGTTCTCTCGTTCTGATAGGACATCATATGACGTCCTTCCATTCTCACCGCGCATGCTCGGCTCAGGGAGCGTGCAACGTGGCGATCGCCGGTGCTCTGTGGCCCTCGGACACAGCGGATCACGGAAAGAGCCGAGGATGTCGCTCGGTCATGTGATCAGCTGTGTCCAATCACAGCTGATCATATGTAAACACGGAAATGCCGGTTATCAAAATTTCTCTCCTCTTGAGCTGTCACGCTGATAGCTCGAGAGGTGAGGAGAGCCGGTAATCGGCTTTCCGCAGAGGGGACAAGTGTGCCCTGATGATCAGTGTGGCCCCAGAAGTACCACCTGTCAGTGTCCATCAGTGCCAGCAGTCAGTGCTCATCAGTGCCACGGGCCAGTACCCGTCAGTGCCACATCAATGCCACATATCAGTGCCCATCTGAGCTGCCTTTCAATGTCACTCATCAGTGCCAGTCAGTGCCACCTATCAATGCCAATCAGTGCCACCTATCAGTGCTGCCAATCAGTGCCACCTATCAGTACCAGTCAGTGTCGCCTATCAGTGCGCATTAGTGCCGCCTATCAGTGCCAGGCAGTGCCACCTATTAGTGCAGTCAGTGCTGCCAAACAGTGCCAGTCAGTGCCGCCTATCAGTGCCAGTCAGTGCTGCCTATCAGTGCCGCCTATCAGTGCCATATATCAGTGTCATGTATCAGTACTGCCTTTCAGTGCCCATCAGTGATGCCTGTCAATGCCCATCAGTGCAACCTACCAGTGCTTCCTCATCAGTGCCCATCAGTGATGCCTGTCAATGCCCATCAGTGCAACCTACTAGTGCCTCCTCATCTGTGCTCATCAGTGCCACCTATCAGTGTCCATCAGTGCAGCCTATCAGTGCTCATCACTGCAGCCTCATTAGCGCACATCAGTGAAGGAGAAAAATCACTTATTTACAAAACTGTATAACAAAAACTAAGAAAAAACTTTTTTTTTCAAACTTTTCAGTGGTTTTTGGTTTGTTTAAGAAAAAATAAAAATCCCAGAGGTGATTAAATACCACCAAAAGAAAGCTCTATCTGTCTCAAAAAAATGATAAAAATTTCATATGGGTACAGTGTTGCATGACTGCGCAATTGTCATTCAAAGTGTGACAGCGCTGAAAGCTGGAAATTGGCCTGGGCAGGAAGGGGGTGTAAGTGCCCTGTAGGCTAGTGGTTAAGACATCTCAAAAACTGTGATTTCTTTAAAAACATGCAGAGGTAATTGATGAAATTTCCCAATGTCAGAATATGCATCCATAAGTATCTGCTAATTATTTTTGATTATGCCAATATGGTCTTATTATATGCACAATAAAATGAGTAATGAATTAAATCTGTTTAGTTTTACTTTTACTTGTTATCTGTGTAAACTTACTTCCTTTCCTTACACTCCTAATGCTTACTTTCAAGTTCCAGTGAATCCTTTGGATATCCCCTTGTTAAAAAACTATTTGACATCTCCTGCTATCTCCCCTATCTGTGCGTTTCTTCACTGACAATGAGGTACACTCAAAAACTGACTTTTTACAATGGATCAAAATGTGCGTGGTGAATGGAAGCTGCTAAATAGTGACAATTGGTTCTTATCCGTTGAAGATGAAAGAGTCCTTTTAAAAATCACTCCAAACTTGTCTGAACAAAACTTTGTTTCTTGGTATATAATTCACTAGCTACCATCAATTTTAATGCATCCATCAATCTCTTTCACTTGATCAATTGACATGTATAAGCCTGACACATCCCATATCACTAAAAATAAACCAGTGACATTATCAGATATCATGTTTAGCAAAGTCACTGTTGTCCTTGATGTACTGTACGTCCTTGTCCTCTGCACCAAAGGTACCAACAATTTATCCAAATATGTAGCTATAGGCACAAAAACTGACCCTTTACCCTAAACCATCGAGTGACCCAGGGGAGTTAAAAGGTCTTTATGGATCTTTGAAAAAATGTACTGTGTGGGATCCTTGGATGATTGCTCTGCAAATAATGAAACAGCTTCTTTGTTTACAATCCTGCTCAGGTCTTTTGTAGACAAACCTCCCCCATGTTGGATCACCTGGCAATTTCTTGTATACCAGGGTATCTGGAAGTTGTTGAAGAATCTCTAGTCTATATTTTACAGGGTCCATTATCACTAAGTAACCCCCTTAGACTGCCACTTTCACCAATATATGTGTTCTTGAGATGTCAGGGCTCCTTTTCCTACCATCCCCACTACATATATAAGAAATTAAATGGAAAAATGTATATTCCTTCCTTCCTTCACATATATTTATATATATATATATATATATATATATATATATATATATATATATATATATGGATTAAAATTTCAAGTCCAGACCTACCAGCCGGGCACAAAACTTACTCTCAACCAGTTGCCCCACCCAACCTTGCCCAGGTCCGTCCCCAACCCCAACCCCACCGCCGACCACCCCCAACCACGCCCCCTTAAAGCTTATGAAATTAAATTTTTCTTTAGAATAAAGAGTCCAAAATATAAAACTGTACACAGTAATGTATATCCCAGCTCCCCTGTACTCCATTATAGTGATATGACATGTATACAGTAATGTATATCCCAGCTCCCCTGTACTCCATTATAGTGATATGACGTATACAGTAATGTATATCCCAGCTCCCCTGTACTCCATTATAGTGATATGACATGTATATAGTAATCATTACTGTATACATGTCATATCACTATAATGGAGTACAGGGGAGCTGGGATATACATTACTGTATACGTCATATCACTATAATGGAGTACAGGGGAGCTGGAATATACATTACTGTGTACATGTCATATCGCTATAATGGAGTACAGGGGAGCTGGGATATACATTACTATGTACACGTCATATCGCTATAATGGAGTACAGGGGAGCTGGGATATACATTACTGTGTACACGTCATATCGCTACAATGGAGTACAGGGGAGCCGGGATATACATTACTGTGTACACGTCATATCGCTACAATGGAGTACAGGGGAGCCGGGATATACATTACTGTGCACACGTCATATCGCTACAATGGAGTACAGGGGAGCCGGGATATACATTACTGTACACACGTCATATCGCTACAATGGAGTACAGGGGAGCCGGGATATACATTACTGTATACACGTCATATCGCTACAATGGAGTACAGGGGAGCCGGGATATACATTACTGTATACACGTCATATAACTATAATGGAGTACAGGGGAGCCGGGATATACATTACTGTATACACGTCATATCACTATAATGGAGTACAGGGGAGCTGGGATACACATTACTGCTCCATTATAGTGATATTACATGTTGTATACAGTACTTACTCCTAGTCCCTCCGATTCCCCCATGGCGGTGAAGAGGGTGCCTCCTCTCAGCGGAGGAGAGCGGACCTCTCCTGCACCTGTCCCCTCAGTGGCGGTGCCGTAGAAGCCGGAAACCGGAAGTTGTAAACCGGAACTCGGCTTCACAATGAGGCTTGGAGTGCAGGTGCAGATGCTCCATGCTTCATCTGTGCTCGCCGCTCGCCACAGAGGAATTTCTCCTCGCATTTGGCGAGCGGGCGAGCGGCTTTTTCAAGCCCTGTATATATATATATATATATATATATATATAAAACAAAACAGAAAAGTTCACATAGAAAATCAGTTTCCCATGCAGGTTTCCACCATCACATAAATGACATTCAGCCTCCTGGCTCCCTCTAGCAGCGCCACCGCTCAGACCTTTTGCCTTGGTCCTCCAAACCATCTAACCCAAACCTCAGTGCTCCCGTACAAGCAATGTACTTCAGCTCTTTTTCAGCTCCTTGGTACTGTCAGGAATTTTATACAATTAACCAAGTTAGCAATATTGATTATTTATAATAATAGATTTATTGCAGTGCCTCCAGCCTTCCTCAATGCTAATCAGCATAAAATAAAATAAATATAACCACCCTGACTTAATTTCCTGAATCCTTTTATCTCTGTATAGAAATTTTAAGCACAAGAACGTTATCAATGAAAGTGATCGTTAGGTTGAGAAAGCGATAATGAATGGCCAAGATAATGTTTGATGTGGTGACCAATCAATCTCTTTCCCATCTAAACTTTTTATTTTTAAAATTCCATTATCAAAAAACTAGCCTAGAGGAGGTAGTTCAGAGTATTTACCCAAATCTGATTGGAAGGTATTTCTATTGATTAACACAATGCTTGTTTAGGCATTGACTGTGCCTGTTCAACAGATGTCGCTCTAAGACTAGGAATTCCTGTTTTTGAGTTTTTGGAAATAAACTTGGAAGTATTCAATTCAACCTTATATGAGACATATTTTTAACCCAGGTTTAAATATGAATATGTTATCCTGGTCATAGTGTGGATAGGTGCAGTCCCCTGTGTGAATATTACTATTTGTGATATTAATATTTAATGTACCTTCATTTTAATCTTGTTATATTTGTTACAAAATCCTTGTATTATATTTGTTATTAATCCACAAAGGATATAGGGATAAATATCATATTTTCATTTCTCATTTCAGTTCTGAATCCATATATGAAAACATGCTTATTTTTTATTTTAAGTATTATGATAATACATATACAATATTTAATACAAAGTACAATATTTAATGTATCTTGCATAGTATCATGTCCTATATATGCGTACATTGAAAAGTATTTACAATTTTATAGTTGTTATTTTCCAAAAGTGTCCCTAAGGTGTAAATTGTTTTTTCTTCTAAAATAGAGAAATAAATTTAGTTCACTTTCCTTTGACCGCTCTCTATTTGAACTCACTTGTAGAAAGATTCTATAAGGTTGTACTTTGTTTCCTAGAGTACCCTACTCAGTTTAATAGCATTTCTCAGTGTCTGTTCAATGCAATAAGTGTGGTTTCTACCAACTGGGTAAACCGATTCTGTCTATTCCCAGTTACAAACTGTTTGTTGTCTGAGTATCCTATCTATACATTGTCAAGAGATAAAATATCCTTGGTTGCAATCGAGTTTTTAGCTGTGTGTCATTAGAAAGCAACTCTTCAAGGATCTTTAGATTTGACTTGTAACACCTGTGACTTCAGTTTATCTGAAGTTCAATTGTGCTCTCACAAGTATATTTAAATATAACTAAAGGCAAACCTGTTTTTAGTTTTGGATAGAGCGCAGAGGGATTAGAACACCTGTCAGTTTTTATTACTCTCAGTGCCCCAGTTAGGGAGATTGACCCTCTCTATTTGTCCTGTTTACTATTATCATTGAAAGTGAAAGTAAAGAAAATCCCAAATTTTGGGTTGTCCCCAGAAAAGTAATAGAGGGGAATTGTTCCAATGGGGGCACTAGTTCTGGTGACCTGGAGTTCCCAAGGGATTCCCTTAATTTGCAGGGATTTCCTCTCACTTCCTGTTTGGCTATAGGACAGCAAATTAACTACCTGCCGACCGCAGATAGCCGAATGACGGCTGCACTGCGGCCGGCCAGTTCTGAGTGGACGTCATATGACGTCCTCCCAGAACGCGCTCTCCTGCGCGCCCCAGGGGGCGCGCACCCGGCGATCTC